TCATCGCCCGTCAAAAAGGAACGACAGGCCCCGTGGGAACAATAATCCTTACCAGTCAGGCGTCTCCGAGGTTTCGCCTTTTCAGTAATGTTTGCGCCCATTTATGACCCGTTCCCCTCACCCACGAGATGGTCCCACGGTCTGTACATCCCACTCTTCGTCAGCCACCTCGAGGGCACTCAACCCCTTAAATTTCCCCAAAGCGACCTCCACCTTGGCCCCCCACCCCCAACAACACCCGCACCACCTCCCCATGCCCCCCCTCCGCCGCCGCCTGCAACGCCGTCCTTCCACTACTCCACGCCGCCGGCGCATCCACCGCGGCCCCGACCTCCACCAACCTCCTCACCACGTGCACATCGCCCCCCTCGCACGCCGCCTGCAGCGCCGTCCGTCCCATATACCGCGCCGGCGGCGCATTGACCTCCGCACCCCCCACATCCGGGTCCAGCAAAACGTCCACCACCTCCCTGTGCCCCGCGCGCGCGGCCAGCGCCAGCGCCCGCAGGCCGCCGTTGTTGCCGCCGGGGGCGTTGGCGTCGGCGCCGGCGGAGAGGAGCGCCCGTATGAGGGGGAGGTCGCCGAGGAGGCTGGCGGTTTGGAGCGGGGTGCGGCCGTAGAAGCCGAGGGGTGGGGGGTTGGGGTTGTGCGGGTTGGGCGGGGAGAGGAGGTGTAGGGTTAGGGGGAGGTTGCGTTGTTGGATTGCGTGGAGGAGGGGGGTGGGGCGGTCGTCTTGAGGGTCATGTTGGTGTTGGTGTGGGTGTGGGTGTTCTTTTTCTTCTTCTTCTTCTTTTAGGGGGTTGGTTATTCCCGCTGCTGCTGCTGCGGGTTGGGGGGGTTTTGAGTTGTTTGGGGACATTTGTGTGGCCTGCGAGTGAGGAGGTGGGAACGGTGATGAAGGATCCTCTCCGCAGTTGGTGGTCGAGGGTGAGGTAACGTCGGTTCAAGCTTACATGTACTAGGATTGAATGGGTGCAAGCGCATTTGTCAGACATGTGCATAAGGTCATTATACCCGTCAACCCGGTGCGCGGGTCACGGTGCTTTTGAATTCAAGGGAAAAGGTGACCCGATAAGAACATCCTGGCATATCGTACATTGATATATGTAGGGCAATGTCTCTCAGGTGAAAGCATACGGGTACCAACATGATCGCAATCCTAAACTTTCATGTGCCTAGCCAGCGCCTTCGCCGCTTAAGCCATCAACATCGACAATACCAACCTCCACAACCACTCGACACGTTGCTTCAGTTCCTTGCCGGCCCTTCACACCCTGCACACCTTGTTGAAGGGGGGCCGTTGGTGACATCCTCGATGCGCCCAACGATGCCGTCACGAATTGTCGTGCTGTGACCACCCCCGAGGTGAAGTGGCTGCCCATGGGCGTCATGGATCCTGGTATCCGTCACTGACGTCTGGCCTACAACTTACTGGGTTGTTTGCACGACAGAGCCGTTGTTGTTAGAGAAGGACTCGTGCTTAATGTCCCATCCCGTGGTCACCGTCCAGTCGTGCCCGTTGGCGGAGCCAGACGTCACGCTGACTGCCGTCATGGAGCTGGATGTAACGCTAACTGCGTTTGTCGAGGAGCTGGAGAAGGAAAAGCTGACCGACATGGCTTGTCTGTTGATGATACAGCTTGGGTGTTTTCCTTGCCTTTTATCTAGGTATGGAACCAGTATTCACAGACATTGGCAACTAGGATGGCATGGGAATAATTGGTGAGAGTGTGGATTCCATGCTTACGATCAGATCTACACAATTGAAAGTCAGGAGCGCGTCTCGCCCTAGCTCGGGCCACCTACAGGTCCTGTTAATGGCTTGGAGTTATAGATCGGTACAAGTTGCTCCCTCTGTACTCCCCCTAAGCCCCCCCGATACCAACACCGCTCAGGATCCCTCCCAGACCTTATTTTAATAGCAATGGGATGGGACCAAACCTATAACCTTGACCCGAGCTTTCATCGGTTTAGAACTCTTTACTCTTCGCCGCACCCTATAGTCGTCTATTTGTTTCACAGAGGCGTGCAAACTGCCTGGTTGAGTGTAGCTACCTTCGGCTTTGGCATCAGTGACCTAGCTACAGCCCAGGTCACACTGAACCCCACGCTCATGCCCTTCTGGTTGAGCCTCCTCCTCGCTCTTGTCGAAAACTAGCCATGGTGATCCTGGTATGGGGGAAGAGGAACGTGCCCTTCGGTCTTGTTCAATAACATCCATATATCGGGTCCCTTTGTCACAACTCTAAAAGCCCCGAGAATAATTTCGTCAACAATGTCATCGACATTGACATCAGATACGGCGGCATTCCGATGCCACATATCTTGGAATGACTTGGCTCTTTTGACCAGCACCGAGAGTTCCATGAGCAAAAACTTGCGGCACCAGCGCAGAGACTCGCTCCTCTGAACCAAAGGAGATTCCCCCGTCAAGCAATCTGTTTGCTCCTGCACACGCCGTTAGCCTGTGAGCTTAGCGGGTGGTATCAAGCTTAGGTAATTACGAAGAGGAATCGGACTCCCGCAATGATGTCCCTGATGAACTCCTGGTCCCGAAAGATCTCCTAGCTCTCGCCGGTGATGCTCCCCAAAACATCCCAAAGGTTTAACACGGCCTCGAGCAGAACTCGCATGTCGCTGGGCCCGTAAGGCTCGCAGTAGTTGGTGGGTAGCCACCCCCTTGTGCCCGATTTTAACAAAGTGCCATCTGCCCAGCCGCTGGGTTGGATGGAGTGCACCAGGACGATATCACCCGTGTCTAACGCTAGCCTCACACTTGAGTCGGATACAGAATTGTTGGGCTTGAAGGGATAGAAGGCGTGCAGAAAGTTGTGGAAAGGTCGGGGGTCCAGCTGTTGCTCGGCATGAGGGGTTTCCTGGGAGCTGCTCGGAGTGGCGAATGCGGGTGCTGGGGGCATCACGCTGGGTTCAGCTGCCGCTGCAGCTTTACCTGTTGATGAACCGTCTTTCTTCCTCTGTAGCATCGACTGAATGATCGGGTCGTCCTCAAGAGCTGTGGGGGACCCTCGAGCTGCGGACTCATAGAAGTTCCAGCTGGCCAACTCCCAGGCCTCCTGGAGACCCGAAGCCGAGTCAGAGTGGGCCCAGGGGAGTTCTACTTCAAACTCAAGGACGTCATCGTCAAAGTTAAGGTCCTTGACTGTGCTCCTGCTCCGCGGCGGTGAAGTATCGACACTACTGCGTCCACTCCCAGCGTCATGGGGAATATCTTCTTGGTAACTTGGGAGAGACTTGAGGGCCAGGGATCTCAAGTGCCCGGCGATATGATCTTCCAGACGATTGTCGGTTTTGGCCTCATGTTTGCCGCACAGGGAGCACGATGGAAACAGCTTCGCCGTCTTCTGAATGCTCCTATTTACCAGGGCGCGGAGCTGGGCGTCGCTGTGTTTGGTCTTGGGATGTTGGCGCACGTGTTCTATATACTCTTCGCGAGTGGAAAAGGGGCCTAGTTTGCGGTGAGAGGAGCAGCGCCAAAGCAAGCTGTGCTGGCGCATATGGCTAAGCCATTCTTCGCTGTGAGAATAGAGCAGATCCGGCTCGTTGCAGTTCTCAAAAAGGCACACGTAGGGGTCTAGGTCGTTCTTGACGTGGTTTCTGCAAGGCTTGTCAGTGAGTCATTAGCCTTCAGCCTTTTGTCAAATAAGCACTCACTTCCATTTCCGCTCCTCAAACATCTCTTGGGCTGGGAGAGCGTGTAGGCAATATGGGCAGGTGATCTCCCCTATCGCCTGGAGGTCCGACTTGAGCAACTCATCGAGCCTTGACTGCGCCTCGGATATTTCTTCCCGGAGCCAAATCGCAATATAGAAACGGGCTGTTTTCTCTTGTTGATTACCTACCTAAGTTCGGACTGACAGGTTCGTGGTCAAGAACTGTTTGATGTTATATGCTCCTGAATTGTTCGTACATCTGAGCTCAGTTCGAAGCAAATAAACGATGATCAATGAAGGTTAGTGGTAAATGAGGAAGAACTACTTGGGAGGTGTTGACTGGCCAACCCGGAGTGGCTGTTAAGTCAACTACATGTAGCAAACAGTTAAAGTACCACAACATTGTCCTCGTACCAATAAGTCCATTGGCGGTGTCTCTACCGGCCGTCCTTTTCAACTTCACCCTATACAATGTATTGTACCCACCTCTTGGCAACATCGTCACCACGGCTCGGAGCGACGTGAAGCCCCGTTTTGCAACCATTGGGCGACGGCGACTTGCGTGGGTTGAGAGGTACCTGAGGGACCAGAGGCGGAAATATTGTTGAAATGACTATTCAGATTCTTACAAAGCGGTCTTTGCATGTAAATGGGATTCTTGATCGTTGGTGGCCCCAGTTGACCAGCTTGTTGTTTATTCTTTGCTGTTTCAACTTGTTTGTGGAATTTTCAGTTGGACAAAGTGGTCCACCCGTACTCGGTGGGTAGTAACTTTTCTTCATTGGCATTTACTAGCCTAGGTAGGTAGATGTAATCAAGGTATATCTCATGGTTTCGAGCGGCAGCACCACACAAAGCCCACAGCTCAAATGTCTGTGAATGACTTATAAAGACGAGATATCTAGCCGCAATGCTCTGGTGGGATTCAGGGAGGCGGCTTCCAACGAAGTGAAGAATATACAGAGAATTATACAACCAACTTTAAAAGATATACACCAGGGAATTGATAACGACAACCCAGCTTCCCTCTGGCGGCCAGTTGGAGACCGTGAGCGTGAAGGGCAACGAACAAACAAGGTAGCCTCGGAATTTATACAATTCCCCAAAAGCCATTAAAAGCATAGATAGAGGCTGAGAAAGAAGCATGGCGACCCTAACTCTCATGACCCTTCCCACCGCGATCCTCGTCCACATCTGCAACCTCCTTCACGATTCGCACATTGCCAGCCTTGAAGCGTTCTCGTTGGGAAATAAACACTGCTACAAAATTGCTGCAACCGTTCTTGCCCACACCATCACGTTTAGAATCCGTACGGCTGCCCAACTCTCTGAAGATGTCGACAAATGCAAGAAGCTGCTTGGGCGCTACCCGCCTGGTTTATTTCAACATGTTCGGCGTCTCGTCATTGTCGGCCGTATGCACCGTCCAAATCTTGAGGGCTGTGACCCCCTCCCCACCTGGGAGGATACTATAGTTGATCTCAATATCTCGGAAAGCGAAGATAACATGGACGATGATGATAAGCCCGTTGCGAGGAAGACGAAAGCAAACAAGCCAACCTTTCACTTTTCATTGCCGACAACAACTGATTGGAATATCATGCACGCTCAACTTCACGGTTTTCAATTCGAGTCAGAGCACGGCCGAAGTACGATACCCTTGAGGCCGCGGCCAGATGGTCTTGTTCATCTTCATGTTGGCGATGACGACAATCCCGACGATGCGTGCGCCTTGTCCGCCGAAGAGAGTAATGAGCGCTGGCTGCCCCTCGCGGACCTCATCTCTCGGCTTCCCGGGTTGGTTGACGTGGTATATCGCTGCCCATCGCAGTTTCCGCCTTGCCTCCTCAAGACGATGCACGCCCGTGAGAAACCACTACCACGATTACCCCTTCAATTATTCAAGGTACGAAGTGCCTATGACAACTCAGTGACCATTGACCCACACGAGCAGAAAATCATGACTTCCCCCTGTCTTTACAGCATCCAGTACAAGGAAAACACGGCCTGGAATAGGGAGCAGCGTCTGTCCCCGCAGCTCGACGCCGTTGTGTGGATGCTTCGGCAAGCACCCATGTCACCTCACCTCAAAGAAGTCAACGTAGTTGGCCGAACATGGAGAGGGGCCCCCGAAAACAGTCGCCGGCATCCTATCAGTCCTGAGAAGCGCCTCACCTTCTTCCGCCGGGGACAGCAGGAACTGGGCGCCTTGGATGTGGCCTCCGGCAAGGGTCGTCTGACACATCTCAGATTTGACTCAGGAGTAGGCGAACCCCGCTACAAATCCAGATTTGGGCCTGGCGGTGGTAACTGGATTGAAAAGTGGGATACTGTAACTGATTTCTCGTTGCTGCGTACTCTAGCTCTGGTACAACCCGTGTCCCAAGCCCAAGTAATCGCACTTCAATGGACAAGCCTTCCGGAACTCACAGCCCTTTCGCTGACCTGCGAAATGCCGGCATCTATGGAGAGAGACGCAGGTTGCGCACGGTCTGACCACTTCCAGACCATCACCACTTTCCTCGCCAGCCTGACTTCCCTGAGAACACTACAGGTTATTGCCTGGGACCATGCCCAACACTTGTTTTCATTCGGCAGCCCGAAACTGGAGAAATTAGCCCTAGTTCCAATTGATCGCCGGGATTGCTTCTTCGCCTGCCTTGTGCAGAATTTCTTGACTCTCGAAGGATTGGCAACGCTCGCCTCGTCTTTCCCGCGCCTTACCGATCTGTCCATTCCGGTCAAGAGATCCAGGGGCGGCAGCGCCGAGGTTGCGTTATACCGGTATATTGGCGAGCATATGCGTTACCTCCGCCGCCTGACTTTAAGCTTGGACTGCAGCCCTCCTGGTTTCATCGTCACCGACCAGAGCGACCACGACACGCCTTTGCCTGAGCCTTACCCATCTGGTCCACGCTGGCCAGCGGTGGGCGCCGCCTTGAACAGCGACAAGGACCAGTACGTCCAAGCGGTAAAAAACTACCGTAACGGGCATATCTACGACATTTTTATCAACGCCGCCCTGGACGCGTCTCTCGCCAGGAAAATCTTTGATGCTGTGGTGGGAACATAGAGGTATTGTTGGTCGGAACATTCGGCCGCATAAACTTCCCGCAACTCCCGCCGCCGCCGTCCTATAACATATGGGATGTTACGCCGGCCGGGGAGCGATTGACTCCGTTTTTATTTGCGCTCGGGAAGGAATGGATGGTGGAAAAGATGAACGGCAAGCTAGTGGTCACGAGATTGGGGTACAAAGCAGTTGTCGCTCCGAGCTTGGTTCTTCACTGGCCAGCCCTTCGTCGAAACTGTTGAAATGCTTTAGGCGTGTGTGGCCAGAAAAGAAAAAAGGGAGTAGACACTGGTTTAAGAATTGGGAGAGTTGGGGGCTTCAGACAGAGTGAGTCTCAAAATGGTAGGTTCCATGCTATAGTGTCAACCCACATTTGCGATAGTTATACCTATCATATACATACATACTTGTGGGCCATATCACGGTCACCCTCATCTTGTCATATATCCCCTGCATCCAATACAACCATTCTCAAACCCCTATACTGTGGTCCAAAGCGTTAAGCTAAGATACAACCAGCCTCCCCTCATCAGGCCGCAATTTGGGCCAGCATTGCAGCCAACCGCCTCTCAAACTCCAAAATATCCCCTGGGATGGAGGCTGTCGACAGACACATCCTCGTAACCTCTGCATAAACCGACCCGGTGATTCTAGTCCTAGTTCGTTAGTTATCCGCTGATCTCCTCTCATAACAAAAGCGAGAAAAAACACAGCAACACAAAACAATTGAAAAGAAAACACTCACACATCCAACCTCTCCGCCGCCCTCCTGACACTCTCCACATCCATCCACACCCCCTCCTCCCCAACAACCCCCCCACTAACACTCACAACACTCTCACTCCCACTCCCACGCGGAGGGGGGTGGTGCATTACGAGAGAAGATGACGATGGGGGGCCGAAAGCTGATGGTCCGTGTCCGTGTCCCGGTGGTCCATGGCCCGGCCCTGGTACCGGCGCTGGACCCATCCACGAAGGACGAGGGAACGAAGTGGGCGGACATGGGCACGGTGTTCGGTTTACATAAAATCTCGCGTCGTATGCTGGTGGCCTCGATACGGCAGAAAAGCTCGTCGAGCCTACTTTGACCTCGAGGCCGTGAGATGGCTGGCGTGACCATGGGGTCCACACCATCTAGGCAGACTCGTCTCTCCTTGGTATGCCTTGCGCCGTCTTCACTGCTCGACCGGTGGGCGTGACGCAGACATGAGGGCCATTTTGCTAACCGACT